ATGTACTGGAGTGTCCAGTCAGTGTGTCTGTATTAACCCCTCTCTCTCTCAGTGCAGTGTTAATGTGCTGGAGTGTCCAGTCAGTGTGTGTATTAACCCCTCTCTCTCTGTCAGGGGGGAATGTTCATATCCATTACCAGGAGGAGAAGTGTTATGATGAGGAGATCTTCTTCTATCACTTGGGGTGTCACCAGTGGGTGACTATGGAAGAGAGGAGCCGACCAGTACAGAGTGAGACCCCGAGACACGATGAACTCCCTCACCTCTGTCCCCACCTCCCCAGTCCTCTCTCTCTCTCTGTCCCCAGTCCTTTCTCTCTCTCTCTCTCTGTCCCCAGTCCTCTCTCTCTCTCTCTCTCTGTCCCCAGTCCTCTCTCTCTCTCTCTCTGTCCCCAGTCCTCTCTCTCTCTCTGTCCCCAGTCCTCTCTCTCTCTCTGTCCCCAGTTCTCTCTCTCTGTCCCCAGTCCTCTCTCTCTCTCTGTCCCCAGTCCTCTCTCTCTCTCTGTCCCCTGTCCCCGGGGTCTCTCTCTCTCTCTCTGTCCCCAGTCCTCTCTCTCTCTCTCTCTCTCTGTCCCCTGTCCCCGGGGTCTCTCTCTCTCTGTCCCCTGTCCCCGGGGTCTCTGCTGGGGGAGGTAACAGTCGTCTGTCTCCTCAGGAGGTGACTCTGCCCGTGTGGCTCGGGGGCGATACTCCCACGTTGCCGCGGTGATGGACGGACGGGTCCTCCTGGTGGCGGGGGGGTACAGCGGGGTGGCGCGGCGTGACCTCGTGGCTTTCAAAGTGCCCCTGTTCGTCCGGAGCGACCCGGGAGAGCCCGTGAGTGCGCGAGCCAGCCGCCGTGCGGGGGGGCCCCCCCCGAGCCTCGTCCCCGCTCCCCCGTGCCTCGTCCCCCCTCACGCCGCGCTGCTGCTCTCTTCCAGGGCGCGGTGTGCGCCGCGCACCCCGACGAGGCCGCCTGTCTGAGGAACCCGGAGTGCAGCTGGTGTGAGGGACGCTGCCGCGCGTATCGGCCCCAGGACCCGGTCAGTCTGCTCTTCCTGGCCGCAGTGTG